CTTTGGAACCCAGTCCATTTTGAAACTGGGTCGACCTTTGTCATCCTTGCACGGTACTCTCTCCCATGACATATCTTGCTTATCACAAACAGAAGATGTAGAAACGTTAGAAGCGTTAGGAGATTTGGGAGAGTGAGCCTTCGGAACCCATTTGTAGTTGGGTTTAACCCATTTCTTTTTCGATCTGATGGGTGGCTCGGTACTTTCTTTTGAACTTGATGTCGGCCGTTGAGATGCTTTTGATTTTGGCTTCACGAGATCATCTCTTGGACTAGACTTCTGGGCCAGCATACCCTTCTTGTTCTTAGGAGTTGGATGCTTGGCCTTGTGGGTTTGATTCTTGGTCTTCTGCGTGTTCCAGTTATCATGGTCTGAACATGATCTTGAGGGGTTTCTTTTGGAGTATCTCCCTCTTGGCGCGTTCTGCCAGCCTTGTGCATAGTAAGGAACGTATGCGCGATTTGGACAATTTCTGGCAATGTGTCCAGGTGTTCCACAGTGAAAACATGTATTTTTCTTCACTATGAAGTTGTTTCTTCCTGCCCCTGATGGCGTATCTTTGCCTTGTCTCTTGTTGTTCCCACATGCACACTTGCCACAATAACTTTGTTGTGTTGGAATTGGTGGCCTGTATTTCTCAATGGCAGGTTGATCAGAAGCAGTTGAGTTCGAAGCAACAGATTCAGAGTTCAAGGAGATATTGGTTTATTCAGTGGTGTTCTCCTTGTTCTCATCTTCTGCTACTTTACCTGCATATGAAGTAGATGTGCTAGAAACAGGAACATCAATATTTTCAAACAAATAATCAAATATGTCAAAAAAAAATTTAACTCAACATGATCCAATGCAAAAGCATCAAAGGCATCACAAGATGCATCATCAACTTTATCATCAGAAATAGTAGGTTGTTCATTGGAAACAGATACATCAACAGGTCCTCCGACTCCATGCTTTGCCTGGTCTAAGGGTTGATCTGTAGGGGAAGTAGAAATGTTAGTACTTTCAACATTAATAAATCCGCCTGAAACGAAACCAAATGGCTTGCCATAAACCATAAATGGTTCATCGGCAGTCTCCACCTTGGATAGGGGTTGATAAAAATATGTATGACTATAAGGAGGAGGTACACTATCATATCCTAAACCCTTTGACTGATTTCGTTTAAAATCCATGCAATGATTGATCATGTTAGCAACTACCTCGCTTGATCCATCAAATTATTGAAAAGCAAAGTTTGCAGAATCAAATCTTTTCTTCAATGTATCAAGCTCGATAGTCAGTGCATCATTTTGCCTTTTAACATAATTGTACGATTCACATTTCTCACTGTATTCTGATTGAATTCTTCTAAAGTCTATTTTAGCTTCTAGTTGGGCCTTAAGGGGTTTCTGTCCTTTCCTGAGTTGATATCCTTCATATCTCAGGTCCTCAACTTCTCTTTTATATAAATCAATTTGTTCCCGAAGAAATTTAATCGTAGCTTCACAAGCTGGAGTATATGTAACTTCAGTGACCGGAATGTTTTCAGAACTCATTGTTTTTCTACACTTCAAAGTATCAAGTTCTACAATTACATCAGCAAGACTAAGATGATTGAGATCTTTTGTCTTCTTGATGATAGCCACGCTCATATCCTACGATTTCAGAAGTGAATTCAATAGGTTTTTGTTTATCTCAGATTTGGACACGAAGATCCCAGCTATATTCATCTCAGTAGTGAGTGTGGTAAATCGCTGCAACTGAGCTTCCAGGGTTTCTCCAGGGATATAATCGAACATGTTGAAATTTTTCCTTAACTGATCCTGACGACTCTCTTTCATGTTTTTCAATTCCCTCGTAAACTTCAAAAACACAACTAGAAGTCAAACTTAAAATTTAAAGAAAATCCCTTTGACTATAAATGTGACATCCCAAAATCACGGCCAGAAAAGACCGATTTCATTTATGCTTTTTAAAATAATTTCAGAGTAAATCCTTTTGATTTAAAAGTGTTGCGGAATATGTTCCCAAAACAAAACATGATAAAACAATGTTTACCAAAGCATTTCATCAAGAGATGCATTTTCATTATATAATCAAAACTCGGGATGTCATGTTCCGATACAGACCATAAAGCATAAACGATAAACATTACAAGTCATTCAACAAATATATACATACACAGACTTGTAAACAAAACAACTCGATGATTCATTGTGACAACCCGATATTTCAACTCTTTGTAATGACCTAATAGGTCAAGTATTGTAACCACTTATGAGTAATAAAATGTATAAATAAGTTCTAGTTAATTTCTTTCTATGATTTAATGTCTTTGAACCATGATCGTACGTAAAAAGATCGCCCAAATCCGACTTCAGATAGCGAAGTTATGAATTTTCAAATAAATTCCTTAAACACGATGGATTGATATTAAATAATAAAAACAATAATAAAAATAATATCGGAATTTGCTAACGGAATCTAAACGAAAGTTGTAGATCGTAGTCTCACCTTCGCGGGGATATAAAGAACGTCGAAAAGGGAGTTCGTATGAAAGAGATAGGAATTTTTGAAGTTTGATAAATAATTTAAATATAAATTTTATTAAAAGTTCGGTATTATCCGAGGGAGGAGTCAGCCTAGGGCCGAGGTACGCGCCGCGTACGCTCGAACGCCCCGCATACTCGAATGAAGGGTCTCGGATCGACCACGTCGCCCTATGCGAAGCTACCGACCCGTCCCATCCGACCCGCCCCAACCGACCCGTCCCGTCCGAAGTGCGTAAGCGATGACGCACGGGTACGCGCTACGTACTCCCGTACGCCCCGCGTTCGGAGGCGGTTCAGCAACCCTATAAAAGGGATGCGAGCCTTTCCGAAAATGTTGTTCATTTCCTCTCTTTCTCTCCCGATCTTGCCTCGATTTCCGTGCCCGTTCAAACCCGAAGCTCTGGTCTTTTTGCTCAGTCCGAGGGTCGATTTTACTCCCGAGATTCCCGAGAATCCCGAGAAAAATCCGTTTCGCGAGACGAAACTCTACCCGGTTTTCGAGCTCGCTATCTTCGAATTTCCAAGTGAGTTTCATACCCCTTAATCAACTGTTTTAATTATTCTAAATACTTTTACATGCTTTATGGGGGGAATACAAGTTAAACACTTATAATTATTGTTTCGGTCACATGTGACGGCATTAATCACATGTGATTAATAACTATGAAACCAATGATTTTATCACTGTTCAAACTGTTTTACTTCAAAATGTTTTACAAACTCTTTTACTTATCAAATGCTTTATTGGAAACTTTGTTTTGCTACTTATAAATTTGCATGCCTATATATGTATAGCTGTATAAATAATGTTTAAAGGGCTTAGGAAAGCCACCTATCCTATTTCCTTTTCCTCGATTTGGATGTGGTCTGGTGGAATTTCGGGTGACTATCCGAAGGTCGTTTCAATATTAGTTATATGTTGTATATACTTGTATAGACATAAAGGTATTTTCCATATACATGCTTATCAAAACATCATTTGTAAGTTACCATCGGGGTAACACGGGATCATACTACTACAATTTCTAGATCAACGAGTCAGTTCATTCATGAGTCAATATTCATTACTAAGAGAACATATACAACGATACTAGAACAAGTAATATTTTATTACAAACACACGAATACTTTAACAATTGTGATCCACTGTATGGGTTCATGTCTTAATTGTCATGACCCGGGTTGTAGCCAGAGTCTCTTGGAGGGAGAGCGTTGAGTTTGCGTATAGATCTATACTGGATTGACTATCCTACACCTTTCTGTTAGCTACAGTGGACCGGCAGGTCTACGGGTGCCAAACGTCATAACCTATTTTTCGACTATACGTTGTCGATGTTACCAGTCAATAGTATGGTGCAACTTATCACACGATACCTTAATATAAACCCGGTTTAAGGTAGTTAGTACCACAGTAGTTCATATAAAACGAAACTACCGTACTACAATAATTTACCCATTACATTTTGGTGATAGCCTCACCTAAACTTAAATGTACAAACTATATTTTGTTAAATGATAGTTACACTTGGGAAATTTCACACTTTTACATCAAACGAGCATACAAACTGTTAAGCCTTGGTAAAGGGCTACTTTTATACTTTAAACAGAAAATATAGGTTTTTCTGAGAGATTCAAACTTACAAACACTTACATACATTTACAACTCATACTTGCAACAGGTTCAAAACGTTTTTGATAAACGAACCTCGACACTAAAATACTTATGAACTCACCAGCTTAATGCTGACAAACTCTTTCAAAATAACTTGTATTCTCAGGTCATCAGTAGACAGGTACCGATGCTAGCTTTTGAGAAGATGGAGCGCATTCAAGTCTCATCATACTATTTTGATATACATTATATTTTTGGTGTCTAAAACTGTACGGAACACACTTGTATTAAAATGTTTATATTTAATGCAATGGATGATGTTGTTTGCTTATTTACAATTACTGTGTTGTGATACTACACATGACGTCCTCCGCCCCAGAATGTTTCCGCCATTCTTGGTTTTGGGGTGTGACAGATTGGTATCAGAGCATTGTTTATAGTGAAGCAAGTATATCAACCCATAAAAGATATACTAAACTATAAACCCATTTGGGATTAAAACACTCTGACCAGGAGTTTATACTTTAAATAGTAAATTAAGTATACTAGTCTGCATTCATGCTAAAACCGGTGTCACAATGACAAAAACAAAAGTATTACGATTGTTAAAATATCACAGGTAAGCTAGGGGATGTATGGTCAGTCCTGGGAATGGCATAGCCTGATCAACTATGCTGGTCCGAGGAGTGATTAGCACATGCCCTTGAATAATTGTGATGTGTTAACAAGTCTAAAAACTTACCAACAATGCCACAAAAAGATCGGTGGAACTTAAACTTAAAATACTATAGGCGTATTTTGTGCTATTAACTACATACATACTATATCTTTATACCTCTCTTCTCGCGTAGATTTAAATGGCTGGATTCTGTCACGACGACCCGTACTTTCCAAATGAAGGTAACATAGGAAGGCTCGAAGCAGAGTCTGACGATGAACACCAAATTCCGTTGGATGATCATCAAGCTGAAGGCTTCTCAGATAGATCAGACTCTAAGCCTGAAGTCAACAACCTACCACTCGTAGGTCAACCCCCGAACAACAACCCTCGACCAGCTTTTCCAGATCCTACTCCCCTATGGGCAAACCACTTGAACCGTTGGAGTGAAGAACAGGGTCAACCCTTACCATACTTTGGGGACCGAAGCTTTCACAACGTCAGCAATGGTGGCTCTGCTGACCGAGCCCTGCCTGTCATTATCCGCAGGATAGCTCGTAATGTCGAGCAAGGTAGAGCAGCCATTGACCAAGTCATGGAAATTGAAGCCAACTCAGGTGTCAACACAGTCCGCATCCGCTGTCTTGAAGAAGACATGGAACGGACCCGGAGAACCAATGAACCCTACAGCAACATCTGGTTGCCTCTCAAGCTGAAGTCATGGAACTCCGAACTTGCCAAAGTGCTCATGAGCAACACCTTCAAGAGATGGACCGTCAAATGAGAGACCTTAGGGTTCTCCTAAGGAATATTCGTCGCCGTTAGATGATGTCTAGTACATCATTATCTTTTGGGTTAAAGATTTGCCTTTAACATATATGCTCTAAGTAGCACTTGTATGTAAAATATTCCTAACTCTCAGTACTCTAAGTAGGAATCTAAGAACTGTCAAACTTTTCTATGTGGTATGATGTAAGACCTACTGTAGGTCAATTTTCATTAAACTCATTACATCAGTAATACCAGTATTATTGAAATCTATCTAAATTGTGGGAAAAATCTATACATTTGTGTTTTCCTACTAACATTTTTTTTGTTGTGATTTCAAACACTCATACAACTGTTGGGCTATGGTTATTTAGTCCATGTATCACTCTCACGTTGCTTACAAATTGATTCTTACCATTTTCTTACCTTTATAAACTTATAGCTGAAGGATGCCTCCTCGCAAATCTCCCAGGAATAATCCTGCACCACCACCTCCACCGCCTCCGGTCATCGATACTGCAGCCCTAAATGCTGCCGTAGCTGCAGCAGTGGCAACTGCCATGGCTCAGTATCACTCTTCTGATGCCAGCAGAGGTGGAACCCCGGTGGAATCAATTCCGGTTGAAACCCTGTGCGCTCGAGAGAGTGCTCTTACAAGGATTTCACCAACTGCAAGCCGAAGTCCTTTCATGGGACCGGCGGAGTCATTGCTCTCTCGCAATGGTTCGAGAAGACTGAAGCAGTCTTCGAAATATGTTCATGCCCTGCTGCGAGCAAAGTGAAATACGCCGCATGCACTTTTGAAGGAAAGGCCCTAACGTGGTGGAACGGCCACGTTAAATCTCTAACTCTTGTCGTAGCCAACGACATAGGCTGGGAAACGATGAAAGACCTCATGATTGAGGAATATTGCCCGAGGGGCGAGATCCAGAAACTAGAGCAGGAACTGTGGAGCCTGACCATGAAGGGCACCAATATTGTTGCTTACACCGCCAGATTCAGCGAACTGGTGGCCCTCTGCCCCAACATGGTTCCCACTGAAGGGAAAAAGATCGAAAGGTACATATGGGGGCTTGTACCTCCGTATCAGGGGAATGTCCTAGCATCAAACCCCGCTACCTTCGACAGTGCCAAACGGTTGGCACAACGACTCATTGCCAACGGAGTCAAAACCCCTGAAATCACAACCACCCTAGCCACCCCGGAACTCTCCAAACCCGCTGATACGAAACGAAAATACTGGGATGAAAAGAAGAAGCAACAGATGGCCAGGAAGCAGCAAATTGTGGCGATACATGCCGCAATAACCCCTGCTGCTACAACTACTCCGGTGGGTGGGTATGCTGGAAGATCGCCCAAGTGTAACAAATGCAACTACCACCACAATGGCCCTTGCCAGGAAATGCAGTGCTCTAACTGCCACAGGAGAGGACACACAGTCCGTTTCTGTAAATCTCAGGCGAGACCGATCGCCCAAGTCCCCGGCTCTAGCGCGAGCACGACATGCTATGGATGTGGCGAAACAGGCCACTATAAAAGGGACTGCCCCAAGGCGAAAAATGCTGGTGGAACAGGGAGGGTACTAGCGATAGGCCACGGAGAGGCAGTAGTTGACTCGACAGTAGTGACTGGTACGTTCCTCCTCGATGGCTCCTATGCATGCATTCTATTCGATAGTGGAGCGGAGCGAAGCTTCGTAAACCATAAATTCACTCGCATGCTTGCTCAACCACCACACGCACTCAAAGAACTATTCACGGTGGAAATGGCTAATGGGAAAACCAAAAGTACGAGTAGCATATACCTAGGTTGTACCCTAACTTTAGATAACCATTCATTCCCAATCGACCTCATGCCAGTCTCAATAAAAAGTTTCGACGTTATCATCCGGCATGGATTGGTTAATCCTTCATCGCACCGACATCATGTGCTATGAGAAAGCAGTCCGTCTAAACCTCCCGTCAAATGAAACTCTTATAGTCTACGGCGACAAACCTGGTACGAGTCTTCGCATTATATCAAAATATTCAAGCACAGAAATATCTACGCAAAGAATACCATGCATTCCTTGCTCACGTCGTCGACACAAGCCTTGAAACGAAAGAACTAAAGAACATCCCGATAGTGAGCGACTTTCCCGACATTTTTCCAGAAGAACTACCCGGGTTACCTCCGCAACGACAGGTCGAGTTCAGAATCGACTTGGTCCCAGGAGCTACTCTAGTAGCCAAGTCGCCCTACCGTTTAGCACCAGCTGAGATGCAGGAACTCTCTGGTCAACTTAACAAACTACTCAGCAAAGGCTTTATAAGACCAAGTTTCTCACCCTGGGGAGCACCGGTCTTGTTCGTTAAGAAGAAAGACGGATCATTCCGTATGTGTATTGACTACAGAGAACTCAACAAACTGACGGTCAAGAATCGTTACCCGCTGCCTCGCATAGACGACCTATTCGACCAACTGCAAGGGGCGAACTATTTTTCTAGGATTGATCTGAGATCCGGATATCACCAGTTACGAGTACTAGAGGAGGATGTTCCAAAGATAGCCTTCCGAACCCGTTACGGACACTACGTGTTCGTGGTGATGCCATTCGGATTGACCAATGCTCCAGCAGTCTTCATGGATCTGATGAATAGAGTATGCCGACCTTATTTGGATCAGTTCGTCATCGTTTTCATTGACGACATCCTCATCTACTCCAGAAGTAAGAAAGAGCATGGTGATCACCTGCGACAAGTTCTAGAGACGTTACGAAAAGAGAAGCTTTATGCGAAGTTCTCGAAATGTGAATTTTGGATTCGGAGGGTCGAATTCTTAGGACACGTGGTGAGCGAAAAAGGAATCCACGTAGACCCATCCAAAATTAGAGCTATTGAGAACTGGTCAGCACCTAAGACACCGACAAAAATTCGTCAATTTCTAGGTCTTGCTGGCTACTACCGCAGATTCATTCAGAACTTCTCCCGAATAGCGAAACCTCTTACAACCCTGACCCAGAAAGGCGTGACCTTTGACTGGGAAGAGAAACAAGAAGAAGCGTTCCAAACACTCAAACGAGACTTGTGCACCGCACCAATACTATCCCTGCCCGAAGGAATAGAAGACTTCATAGTCTATTGCGATGCATCGAATCAAGGGCTCGGATGTGTCCTGATGCAGCGAGGTAAAGTCATCGCCTATGCCTCGAGACAGTTGAAGACACACGAGGTTAACTACACGACCCATGACCTTGAACTAGGAGCAGTGGTGTTTGCTCTGAAGATCTAGAGACATTACTTGTATGGAACGAAGAGCACTATCTTTACCGACCACAAGAGTTTACAACACATTTTCGATCAAAAGGAGCTCAACATGAGACAACGAAGGTGGGTCGAGCTACTCAGTGATTACGAATGCGATATTCGTTATCATCCGGGTAAAGCCAATGTAGTAGCAGACGCCCTGAGTCGGAAGGAATATTCTGGTCGCAAAATCAAGTCATCGTCAATAACCATCCATTCACACTTGTCTAAACAAATTCAGTCGGCCCAACTTGAAGCCATGAAACCTGAAAATGTGACGAGTGAATCCCTCAGAGGAATGGACAAGAATCTAGAAGCCAAGGGTGACGGAACCTTATATTTCATGGATCGGATCTGGACACCGAAACACGGTGGTTTCCAAGACTTGGTCATGACCGAGGCGCACAACACTCGGTATTCCGTCCACCCAGGTTCAGATAAGATGTATCTGGATCTTAAAAAGCTATACTGGTGGCCTAATATGAAAGCAGAGATTACTACCTTCGTGAGTAAATGCCTTACTTGCGCAAAGGTTAAGGTCGAGTATCAGAAGCCCTCTGGTTTATTGCAAAAAACCCGAGATCCCGGAATGGAAGTGGGAGCGGATCACTATGGATTTCATAACCAAGTTGCCCAAGACAACGGGTGGACTTGACACCATATGGGTCATCGTCGATAGATTGACCAAGTCTGCACACTTCCTACCTATCAAAGAAACCGACAAGATGGAGAAACTGACCAGGACATACATTAGGGAAATCGTACGGCTACATGGTCTGCCTATATCTATTATCTCCGATAGAGATAGTAGGTTTACCTCAAGATTTTGGCAATCACTACAACATTCCCTGGGAACAAGGCTAGACATGAGTACAGCCTACCATCATCAGACCGACGGACAGAGTGAGAGAACCATCCAAACTCTGGAGGATATGTTGCGAGCCTGCGTGATTGACTTTGGGAAGGCATGGGATACTCATTTACCCCTTGTCGAGTTTTCCTATAATAACAGTTATCACACGAGCATCAAGGCTGCTCCATTTGAAGCCCTCTACGGCCGAAAGTGCAGATCTCCTCTGTGCTGGGCTGAGGTTGGTGATACCCAACTAGCAAAGGGGCAAGCTTCCGACGTTACTCTTACCGGTCCGGAAATCATCCGGGAAACGACAGAGAAAATCGTTCAAATCCGTGAACGATTGAAAGCCTCTAGAGACCGACAGAAGAGCTACGCAGATAAACGAAGGAAACCTTTGGAATTTCAGGTGGGAGACCGAGTCCTTCTCAAGGTCTCACCCTGGAAGGGCTTGATACGCTTCGGCAAGCGTGGGAAGCTAAATCCGAGGTACATAGGGCCTTTCGAGATTCTTGCAAGAGTCGGCCCTGTAGCTTACAAACTCGATCTACCAGGCGTACTTCGTAACGTACATTCTACATTCCACGTATCTAACTTGAAAAAGTGTATATCCGACGAGACTCTCGTAATTCCACTCGACGAAATCGAGATCAACGAGAGCCTCAATTTTGTGGAGGAACCAGTGGAAATCATGGACCGTGAGGTCAAGAGAACAAAACAAAGTCGCATACCCATCGTGAAGGTTCGCTGGAACGCTAAGCGGGGACCTGAATTCACATGGGAACGCGAAGATCAGATGCAACGCAAGTACCCACATCTGTTTCCCTATCCACGAGTGTTCCCTTACTTTGAATTTCGGGACGAAATTCCCTCTAACGG